CTTTGCTCTTAAAGCATTATAATGTGTATTACTTTGTTCAACCCAAATTGTTCAAAATTTATACAAATTTTGGCCCGAAACTGGATGGATCTTAATTTCTTAAAATCTTACCTTTGAAATTTGTCTGGGATAGTCTAATTCATGAATTAAAGTTAATGTCTTGTTGGGTTACTGGGGTAATTGGTTGTGAGCTAGGGGTGAATGTTTAATGTACATGACATTGTGCTTTCAGATTGTATGAATTATATGTTGTGCACTTTTCCCCCAGTTGAACACTTTTCCCCCAGAAAGTGCAGTGTCCAAAATAACGGGCCCCCAAAGCACAGGCCCCAAAAAGATCTGGCCCCCAAAGTAATTTGAGCTCCCAGAAGCATGTGGCTTCCACAATTACAGGCCCACAAAGTTCCAGGCTCCAACAAAAACCACCACCCTGCTAATATATTAACCCCAGTAACAGCACTCTATATCCCCTCTATAGAAACATTGTCATATTTGACAGTTTTTAATCCACATACACAAGACCAAGTTAATGACTCAGGAAAACTGTACCTCCCCCTCCCCCATTGAAGGAGGCCTAGAGCTGCCCCGGCCTGTAAAGGCCGATTTGACAAAGCTGCACAACTTTTGCCTAAAACTATATAGCTGTTGCATATGCAACCTGCTTACAACTTGAGAGTTGAGTTGTACTGTGTAAATCAACATACAACTCACCTACGTTGTTGAGTTGTGGGCTTGATTTACACAGTACAATTCAAGTTGTAAGCAGGTTGCATGCGAGAGTTCATAGTTGTGTGGTCTGATTGTCTAAATCGGCCTTAATTAAAAAAAAGATGGGGTACAGTCCGTATGTAAACAGAGCCTTTGTTTACATTTCAGTATTTAAAATATTGAACTTTATTCGACAACTGCTTATATTTTCATTCTTCTACAGTATAGTAAATTATCAAGATACAACAATCAGGCTTTGCAAGAACATAAAATGAAATACAAACCTATGTGCGCATGCACAGACCGGACTGTACAGCTATCTTTAAAACTCATAAAAGTTGAATTTTTCATACTGTAGAGGTTTTGGTTGAAGTTGAATGTTTGAGCATGGATCCTTATATGAGGTATTATTAATAATGATAATAATAATAATAAGAACTTTGATGTTTGTGATGTTACTCTGAGTGTATATCCACACCGGGCAAGCTTGAAAAATATGCCCGGCCACGGTGGGATTTTTCAAGCTCGCCCAGTGTGGATATACACTCAGAGTAACATCACAAACATCATATTCACCTGTGAGTACACAACACCAACACAGAAAAAAATAAAAACTTTATTCAATAATACAATGTATAATTTTTCTGTGTTGGTGTAATGTACTCACTACAGGTGAATATGATGCTTGTGATGTTACTCTGAGTGTATATCCACACCGGGCATGGCGGGCAAGCTTGAAAAATATGCCTGGCCACGGTGAGAATCGGACCTATACGACCTTTGGAATACGAGCCCAATGCTCTGCCAACTGAGCTATGCGTCATATGCGGTCAGGTTGGTTCAAGTATGTGATATTTCTGAACAGAAATTGGTTTAGAAACAAAGTTGAAGTAGGGTTAGGTTAGGGTTAGGGTAAAGATTAGGGTTAGAGTTAGTGTTTGGAATAGGGTTAGTTTTGTTACGTTTTATCACTCTGGGGC